GTTGCATCGGACTGGGAAAAACCTGAAATCAACCATCATAAACAAACTTGAGGCCAGCAAGAGCACGGTTCAGTCGCTTGGTCGGAGTGTGGGCAGTGTGGAGGCGTGGGTAACATCGTCTGCCATGTTGTCTGAGTGGCACTTGACCTTCTGGAATGCCAGCGGAGAGGATGTGGGCACCACTCTGAATAACGGTCAGCCGGACACTCGCTGTTTTTCCCACAGTATCACATTCCCGAGAACCCCCCAAGGTTCACTGGTAAGTTCAAGTGATTACCCAGAATGTCCTTGTATAAGTCCCAGTCTCTGTTCTGCTGTTTTTAGATTAATTTAATACTTTTCTTTGGCAGATAAGTCAGTCATTGTATGGCTACAAATTAAATGTGGAGCACTCCAGATGCACCATGTGCTTTTAGATGGGAAGCAGCTCGTCTATTTGCTGAACATTTGCTTGGCTGGTAGTGCTGTGACTTTTGTAAAGTCTGCAGTGATTATACGACCACCAATAACACAAGTAATAAAAGAACGGACTTCATGGAGAGACCACACACATAATGACAAACGCTCTCCTCCTACCTCTCTCTCAACCTTATAAACACGCTCACACTAGTCCAGTGTCATGTCTACGGTTAACTCTGTGTGCTCAGCTGGACATTAAACTCCAAATCTGACATGGTGGCCAAAGCACTCATGCAGGGTCTCCAATTTGAAACCTTGCTGGTTGGTGCACATATAATTTTATGAATACTACCTCCTTACCTCCTTACCTCCCACCTGTGCAAAACTAAGTGGGTTTTTTATGTCAGGACCCCCATGGCCCCAACAACATGCAGACTGTCAACAAGACATCATAGAGACACATGTATTAGCTCATGTTTCTTAGCTAATTTTCTTTTAGGGTCAGTTCTCACAGGTGTCATTCTGGTCTTCTATCAGAGGAACCTAGATGTGGTTTATCTCATTAATTTACATAATTAAACTGCAATCATTTTTGAAGTGACTCAATAGTTTGTTTATTTACAGTGTTACTGTATACAGAGACCAAAGATTGTCTTAGGTTTTACGACAACTTGAAACCAGCCAAGTACACTACTGTTGTTTTTAAAAGGTTTATGCTTACCAAGGCTGCATTTATTTGAAGAACAACATAGCCTACCGTATGAACAGTAATATTGTGAAATATTATTAAAATTTAAAATAACTGTTTCAAATAATAAAATAAAAAAATGTAATGTATTCTTGTGATGGCAAAGCTGAATTTTCAGCATCATTACGCCCATCTTCAGTGTCACATGATCCTTCAGAAATCATTCTAAAATGCTGATAATGCTGAAGGAACATTTCTTATTATTATCAATGTTCAAAACAGGTGTGCTGCTTAATATTTTTGTGGAAACCTGCATGATATATATTATATATATATATACTTTTTTTTTTGATGAATAGAAAACTTTTTTTAATTAGTAAAATTAATTAATTTCAGACTTTTGTAACATTATAAATGTTATTACTGTCACTTTTGATCAATTTAATGCATCCTTGTTGAATAAAAGTATTAATTTTTTTTTTTTTTTTTAAATATACTGACCCCAAACTTTTGAATGATAGTGTGTAAAACTTCTAGACTCTTTCTGGTCATCATCAGTAATGCTCACTACTTTCATGTTGCTTACTTTAGCAGTTCTGCCCTGAGATGACAAATGAATATTTCCAAAAATAGAGAACTAATGTGGCTAAAACAGAGGCCCCCAGTCTGGCATATCCCGGCTCTCTGTCACACTCTCTGCTTTTAAATGAACGCTCAAGTCAGCATCCAGCCAAAATAAAACATCTAACATAAGTAATTAGCAGAACACATAAACAAAAATTGTGTAACAGCAGTGGCCTATGTAAGTACAGTAAAGCAGTGTTCCCTGTTCTGTCACATAGGCATTTTATTGAGCCTTCATTCTTATAACAACACCTGTGCTTCCAGAGAAGTTTAGAACACTTTCAGATAAACACAAGTGTTACCACAAATTCCCCAACCTTTGTGTATCCTCAGAAACCTTTGAGAGTCTGTGCGTAATAGTCCCATTCTGCTGCGTCTTTCACATCAAACCAGCTCATATAAACAGACGGGAGTTAGTATGAATCAGCTTTTTGTCTTTAAAAATAGAAACATTATCTAAACAACGTCCCCCATTTTACGTTCACAGAGCTCAAGTAACAACATACAGTCAATGGCATTAGTCTGGTTGTGAAACAGTGCTTGGAAAAGAGATTGGAAAGTTTTGCAACACTTCAGACATGTAGAGATGTGTAAAACCATCATGATGGTTGAGTAATAAATGCTGAGGAAAATACAACACTATGTATGAGCATGGAAAGTTGGAAGATATGAGATGATACAATATGGTAGGAGATGAGGAATTTGCTGAATAATGTGATTGATTGTTCGTTCTATAGAGCGCAGTGTGGTGTCTGTAGTCGTGGAGAGTTAGCGTGACGTGTGCAGCCCTTCAAACAGCCTGGAGCAACCCGGCTAGTTGAAACTTTCTTTAGTCTTCCCTTAATCGCTTTCTCCCTGTGCCCCACTGTCTGTGGCATAACTTCAATTCAGCCTGACATTTCTGCTTTTAGATGAGCAGATCCACAATGCCCAAAGACCCCATGCAAACAACAGCTATTTGGAGTACAAGATGACATTATATTACAGTGCAATATTAGATTTTCTTTCGTAAACATGCTATACTTACTCACAGGCCGGGCTTTCTTTTTTTCTTTCTTTCTTTCTTTCTTTCTTTCTGCTATGTTCTTGAATTCAGTGGTTTATCTTCTTTTGTGAATCCCTCTCTTGCTTGTCTCTGTGCAGTGGTGGCACGTCTTCTCTTCTATCCTCACTCCTCAGCCTGATAGAGTGAGTGTGGAGACGGACAGCTGGACTGTGAATGTATGCAAGGGAGGGAAAGACGGAAGAGAGGAGAGAGGGACAGCCCATTCCGACCCCCATACAGCCCCCCTGCACTGCCATCCTCCGCCCCCTGTCCCCTCCTCGTCTGACCCCCCAGGATGAAAATTCCTGGTCTGCGGCCCAAATTCCAAAATTCCAAATGTGTCCAGCTCAACGATAGAAAAAACAGCATACAGATTCACACACACATGCAGCCAACCCCCCTCCATACACACATAACCAGCCCCCGCGCGCACACACACACACACGAAGGCAAAGACCCCACCTGGTTTCATTTAAACTCGCCCCCCACAGCCTACAACTTTGTTTCTCTCTTTTCCCCTCCACCTCAAGTCACCCTTCATCTCTCCCATCTTTTTAGGTCTCTCGCTCTCTCTATTCCTTTCATTCGGCTGGATATTTATAGCTTGGGAGAAGCTAGTGGAATGTAGACAAAAATTGGAGAGCAAACTAGAAAGAGAGAGAGACAGAGGCAAGGGTAGAGTGAAAGAAGGGAGGATAGGACGCACGTCTTACTTGGAAAAGTTGGTTCGTTTTTTTGCAGTCTAAATATTGAAACTGGAGGTGCTCGCAGGCTGATATTACTAGAAATGAGAGGCAATGGAAAGACTTTTACTTTTACTTCACAAACTCAAACAACATAGCATGATTTAAAAAAATTGAGATTGTGGCTTGAAGACTAGGTCTATGTAAATACACTCTTCAACATCCTTTCTCTTCTGGGAAAACCAACACAAATATTGATGACTCATCCTACACTACACAATTTTTTGTCTAATCAAATGCTCACTAAAAAAAAAGAGTAACAAATACCAAAGAAATCCAAGTTATAACTACATAAACAGAATCCCCCCAAATGTATTCAAACACATGTCTGAACTAAGAATTGTAATGTTTTTCTTTGAAATGTTGCTGCTGCTGTTAAACGATTATTGATTTGCTGTTTGCCGACTTAAATTATTTAGTTGGTTTGTCATTATGAATTGTGTTTTGATGTTAAGAGCTCCTCTTTTTACATTTATTGTCACCGTTCTTTAGGTTTATGTGTCAAGTGTTGAGGTCTTTATACAACCTTTTAAAACTTCGATATCTTTGGTTTATAAGGTGAATACATAAACCTGTAGTTGCTTTCACAAATGTATTGGCAGAATGAGGCATTTTAATAAACAAATTACAAATGGGCAAAATAAAGAATCACTAAGAAAACAAAAAATATATATAAATACATTGGTGCCTATTCTCAACAGTTTTTTTTTACAGTCTAGAATGAGAATGTCCTGCCCACTAATACTAATAATTCCCATTTCGATAAGAATAAATATGGCTGGATTCAGAAAAGTATACTTAATTTGGTAGAAATATTACAAATAGTATGTTAGTAGATGTACAGTATATTTGTATTTATATAAGCATGTAGAATTACATGATTTGGTTTAGTTGAGGCTTTACATACATGTAATTAAAGAAATGATTATACATTTACCAAACTCAGTTGTCAAGTCACAAAATCAGTTGATGTTGGAGGCATTACATTCAAGCTTTATCAAATTATACAAAGAAATAAACATTGTTTTGCTCTGCAAATGACAAAAGGGCAAACAAATCTGTTTGCCATTACTTTTGTACCAAAAAAACTTCTAGAGTAATGTGGTAGGGCTGACAGCTGCCATCACATACCATTATTGTAAAAACACACATGTACACTGTGCCACCAAGACCTGACAAATTGTGGCCCCCTACTGCTTTCCCAGCCCCCAATGGGCCCACACACAGACCTCACACCCATCAGTGCGCCATGCGCCCACTTATTCTGGTCAAGCCAGAGGGGTCAGGAGTTTAAGGACCATAAGGGCTCAAGCCACAACATCCTTTGGACTGTTTGCATGTTAATTATCATTAGGATCCCCAAATTATGTCAGTCAAATCAAGTATGATCAGGGTACAATTTTGTTCCATCCATCATTACTAAATACACCAATTTTTTCAGTGGCTTTGCTAAAAGGGAAACCCACAAAGCAGAGTTAATGAAAACACAATGCAGACAGTGTCTGTGGAAATCATGCTGTTTTTATTTACAAGTCATACATTTCTGGAGGCCAAGGGGTAAAAGAATGAAACAGGGATAGAGGGAGAGGGAGGTGAAGACATGGACAGATGGTAGGGGTGGGGGGTGGGGCATATTTGAGAAAAGATTAAAGAAAGATGATAGACAGGAGATATTAAACATCAGGCCATAAATTCATAAGATGCTAGACTGCATGCAGATGAGTTATCATGAAGAGAGAGAAAAGGTGTCAATTAAGATTCTTTACTCATGGTACATTTTAAGGATGCAACTTTTGATAACTCCCATGTACCTGGTCCAGACAGAATGATGCCTGAGAAAGAAATCGGAGAGAGATTTAAAAATGTGTCACAACATACATTTTTAAGAGCTTGTTTTGTTAATACATTCAAAATGTTTGCTTTGATGTTCACTCTTCATATACTACCAATCAAAAGTTTGGGGTCAGTATGAATTATTTGTTTTGTTTTTAATAAAATCAAAACTTTTTTTGAGCAAGGATGCATTACAATTATCAAAAGTAGACTTTTACAGTGTTACAAGAAAATGTAACAAATCAAATCTGTTTCAAATAAATACTCTTCTTTTGAAGTTTCTATTCATCTAAGTATCCTAAAAAAAAATCAGTTTCTATAAAAAATTAAGCAGCAAAACTGTTTTCAACATTGATAATAATAAGAAATGTTTCTTGAGCAGCAAATCATCATATTACAATGATTTCTAACAGATCATGCGTCACTGAAGACTGGAGTAATGATGCTGAAAATTCAGCTTTGCCATCACAAGAAAAAGATATATTTTAATATATGAAAACAGTTATATAAGGAACATAAGAAAACTTATTTTAAATTGTAATAATATTTCACAATATTACTGTTTTTGATCAAATAACTGCAGCCTTGGTGAGCATAAAAAAACATTTGAACGGTAGTGTAGGTCAGGATAAATACATATTTTCCAAGTGATTTGAGGTGTTGTGATTTGGTTTGAATAATAAACACATTCCACAGTGGTTAAACCACATAAATGACTGGACAGGAAACAAAGGTGACTACAGATAAAGTAATGTGCATATGATACAGTGACCCCCACTGGTTGCAAAAGCAATCGTCCAGAAAAATACGAAAAAGAAAATATACAACAGCCATAGTGACACTTACTTAAAGGTGTCAAGGATATGTGCCGAGTTAGTATAATGAGTAAGGTAGAGGTTCACATCTACTGATGTCCATTTGTCTGATCGGCAAGGTTCAATAAACTGAAGAGAACAAAGAATAAATGCTTTGTGAAAAATGTGAGTGCTTCAGACCTGATAGATCCTTTTATTAAATTTTAAAAAGTACCTTTTCAACAAGGTCAATGAAGAAATCGCGGACATCTTTTGCGTTGATTAATTTGGCAGCGATATTCACAAGGCCTCTTGAGAGATTCTACAGCAGAAGACATTTTGAATGTAGTAAAGCATTTATTTCACAAGACAACACATGACCAACTCTCTTACCTTAAAATTGGCTTCCATCTCGTTGAAGACATTAGTTTTACCCCGCAGAGCAGTGCACACTAAACTGAGTGGATGAGAGGTTTCATTATTCAGATGGTTGAGACAGAGGGAGTAACCATGCAACATTTGGACATTTACAACAGCCCTCCTCAGACTCTATTCTAATCACCAAATCACTCAATCACACAGTGCTGAACACACACCTTTTGTGTTGGTCTAAGAGATCCTTGTCTGTGATTAGAATTTTAAGGTCTTTGAGGTCTTGAAGGAATTCCTTATCCAGATCTACATCCATGTCCTCCATCATGTTATCTAATGGAGAGAAATGGTGGATTTTGAAAGTACAGACAAAGACAAAAAAGGAGATAATTTCATCTATGTGTATTTCTAAACTACACACAAGTGGTCAGACTGAAGATGTCCATTAATAACCTCAGACTAGATGCTCAAGAACATACAGATGTCAAATTAAACATTAGGACATTTATGCAAGGAAAAATGTGCAATCAGCCAGGCTTTATCGCAAAAAAAAAAAAAAATGACAGGGTGATCAGAACCCTGACGTGACAGGGAGGGGTTTAGTACCACCCTGATGGGGTTTATTTTACAACACTGACCAGCGCGGCTCAGGACACTTGATGGAATTGTCAATGGATCGTTCAGGCCAGTGCTGCGTTGTCACAAAAGATTATCAAGTGTTTTTAAGTCTTGTCAATTTAAACTTTCAAGTGATTTTAAACCACTCAAGCGCAAGATGTAAAAGAGAACTCAGTGTCCTCGTAAGTGAACATAAACAGTTGAGAAAGAAATCGGATGTGTATCATTATTATTATTAAAGTGACAGCAGCCTAATCAACCTGCTGCCGTCAAAGTCATTAATGTTAATCAAACAACAAAAGACAAAAAGAAAATCACTCACTGCTCTTGACTGAATAACTTTTGTAGCTTTAACATAGATTAATCTATATTCAATTCATACAGTGAAAACTATGCAGTGTTGTTTTCATTTGATTATTCAATTTCTGTACCAGAGTCCTTCTGTTAGACCTACTTGAAAAACTTAAAGCACTGTTTATTTCATTTGTGTCTGTTCTATGGTTTATTTGTGCCTATAATTTGTTTATTTGTTCTTATTGTATTACTGACTGTTCACTTTTCTTTAAAGTCCCCCTGTGGTGAAAATCAAGCTTTTAACGTTGTTTATATGTCTATGATGTGTTTTTAATATGCTTTAAGACAAACCATGTGCAAATTTATAAGTCAACACCATTGCTGAGTATTTTCTCTTTGAAACTGCAGTGAACCAAAGACAGCCTCAAAAACACGGTTTGAAATCGCTGCCATTTCTGACGTCACAAACTACATTATAACCAAAAAAAAAAAAAAAAAAGTTAAAATATGTCATTTTGGTGATAAAAGATTAGTTTTAAGGGATAAAATTATTGACTACAAAGGGACGTTCAAAATGTTTGAACTTTATATTAGTTATACTAGTGGTTTTTGCAGTGGTATCGAAATTGGAAATGAAATTTCACTATTTTGGTTTCATAATAAGCTTATTTAGTAGAATACAAAGTTACATGGATTGAAAACAAAAACTAACTTATTAATTCATTCATTTATTTTGTGGCAGGGCCAATGAAAATTTTGGAAGGACAAGTAAAAATTAACCACTGACCCGACCAGGCCAGTAGAAACAATCCTTAGCATTGAGACCTGTTATATAATTATTATTAATATGATATAATTATGACTATTATGCATTTTATATATTATTATAATAATAAAGAAATATTATAAATAGTGTTTTAAAAGTATTTCATCATGTGATAATACAATGCTTTAAAAATAACTTGAGTGGTACAAAAGACATAATCTAGCACACCTGTGTAGGAAATCGGCTGCCTAGGATAACAGTCAGCCATTTACTTTAGTAGCCATTATACAAGAATATTTGACCACTGATTGCCACGATTGACCAATTTCAAGTATTGGAGTTGGCTGTGTAAGAGCTGTGTAACTGGTCTTACCAACAGCTCCTAGAGTCCAGTTGTTGATGAGCTGCCCAGCACAGAAGGCAAAGTCCTGGAAGGTTAGATACAGCAACTTTTTCTTCCCCGTCTCAAAACGATTATTGGCAAAGAACACTATTGCAGCATAGTCTCTGGAGGAGGAATTGGCAAGATCGTTTAGCAAGAGAAGGTGAAAAAGCACCAAATCAGCACTGAAGCAATTGTTCATGGGATGAATATATCACTCAACATTTACCAATAATTTTTTAAGATCAAGTGTATCTGTTAACATTATTTACGAACACTAACATTAACAAAGGTTAATCAATGCTCTAAGAATATATTGCTCATTGTTAGTTCATGTTAGTTAATGCATTAACTAATTTTAACGAATGAAACCTTATTGTAATGTGTTACCGAATCTTGAAGGAATAGATCTAAACAGAGTAATTTAAGCAAATGTTCATTTCTTTCTCACCTCGCTAATTGATCAGGTAACAGAAAGTGCTGCCGTATGTTTTCCACAAGGGGGCCCTTGAGTTCTTCCACCACTTTGAACACTCGCTTGAAGTTGTCAAACTATATTTGAGGAGATAGATATAATCATTAAATTCCCAAAAGGATCTTGGAAAAGCATCCAAGCATAAATCTTAGTTATCATATCAATGAGAAATATATAGTTTCAAATAGAGTAGTTCAGCCCACCTGTCTTCTGCAGCTCTTCAGTGTAATACCTGTCTTTGTGCTAACATCATCAAGGTCTTTTTTTGTTCCTTTGGAGAGTTTTTTCCCCAGGACCTCTCGGACAAACAAATCATCAAAAGCATAATACCTAGAAGAAAATATGAATAAATGTAGTTTAAACTCAATAATACAAAACTATTCAAATAAACTATTTCAATTGGCAAGACACAAATCAGCGCATACCGTTCAATGAGCATGGCTTGTCTGTCTGGCGGTATCTGAAACAGAAGCTGATTGGCTAGTTTAGCTGGGTGGTGTAAAAGTCTCTCGCACATCTGGAAAGTTCTGTACTGGTCCATGGTGTCACTGAGCAGCACTTCTGCACTCACCTCACACTCCTCCATTACACCTCCTTCTATCCGCACCGTCACTGCATCATTCACTATGAAGGCAACCACATTGTTATAAATATAACATACATTTCTAAGCAGGTATTACAGTAGTTCATAGTCTCATGCACTATACTTCACCTGTATATCCATTCAACCACAGTTGATACACCTCTTTGTCCATAATGGTGGTGTTTCCAACAAATACATCCAGCTCCACAGACATCTTGACATCGGCAATGTATTAAGCTGTACAGAGGCGCATGGTCATGGTAAGTTATTACCAAACAGATGCTTTAGTTTTAACGTCCAGTGACTTTGAGTTGCAAGGATAATCTGGTATTAAATAGTCTCACTCTTTGGCACTTTTTGCAAGTCAAGAACCAGACTTAGCTACAGTAGGCTAACTAAAGCTACGGCCGTTAACTAATCATTAACCATCTAACTAATCCCTAACACAATTTAACACACCACACATCTCAGACATGCTACATGACTTATTTTCCAAATATCCTAAGTGGACTTACCAAAGACACAAGCGTATTATCGCGACGGCTGGTTTTTAATCACATTCAGATGTCACAACATTGGCTTTTGTTTTTGAATGTCTAGCTCCTTTCAACATTTATTCGCTCGAAAACTTATCGGATGCGTACGTAGAAATAATTATCACGAGTCGATTATGCATTGGTAACCATCATAGTTATGTTTACCAAACACAGACTGTCAAATCGAGCGACTACACTTCATCCATAGCAACAGCACACCGTTATGATTACTTCCTGGTGTGCGCCACATTCATTTTACGTCACATTCACGTGACTGTAGTTTCGGGTAGTTAGTGTTCGGGTCTCACAAGCGATTACAATACAAATGCGTGAAATGCACTCACGGTGGTTGAGCGCAGTAAAGTTAGTTTTTGGTTCGATATTTCGCCTGACAATTGTTTTCCCTAGCCACTGTTCTATAGGGTCTTACAGCGATATCAATAGCAGGATTAGTTTTAAAATTACTTTTCAAATTCCAAAGCTTGTAGAAGGTTCCTATTGGCAATACTGACCTGGTAGGTAGCCTTGAGTAAATTAACTTGTTTAAGAAAATGATTCATAAAACATATAAATATCAGTTAAGCCTATGTTTACTTTCTTCACTGACACAGACGAAAATGAAAAGACTATCAGTCAAAGTTCAGCTTTAGGAGGGGAAGAATAGGCCAGGATAAGGAGACAGAGAAAAAGAAAGGTGTAGATGAGGAGAGAGGTATTGACAAAATAATCGAATGCTCAATGACATGGTTTTAAAGCTATTTATTATCCATTTTTGGGGCCTTCAAAAGTCTTAAATTGCACATTTGTAGGTCAGAGAAATCAAAAATTTTATCGGGGGAGCATGCACCCCGACCCGAACCCCCCTAAATACCTCACATTTTAATGCACATGTCTGTGGGTGGGGCTGTGGGTGATATAGGAGGGGAAGAATAGGCCAGGATAAGGAGACAGAGAAAAAGAAAGGTGTAGATGAGGAGAGAGGTATTGACAAAATAATCGAATGCTCAATGACATGGTTTTAAAGCTATTTATTATCCATTTTTGGGGCCTTCAAAAGTCTTAAATTGCACATTTGTAGGTCAGAGAAATCAAAAATTTTATCGGGGGAGCATGCACCCCGACCCGAACCCCCCTAAATACCTCACATTTTAATGCACATGTCTGTGGGTGGGGCTGTGGGTGATACTTATACCAAAAAGTATTGCTATACCACGATACTCAATATGTTGTCCCACGGTGAGCCATTTTTCCCTGTTGCACCACACAAAATTTGAATGTTCCCCCACCTGCCAAATCCCACTTTAACCACTGTATATATATATATATATATATATATATATATATATATATATTAATGCTCAATAACATAAGAACATTGTCAATGAATTACATACAAATATATATATACATTTTAAAAAAACAGAATTATACAAAAACAATGAAAAACAAAACAACTTCATTATATTTCAGGTATATTGAAATGAAAACAAAATAAACAGAGTAGATTTGTAAAAAACAAACAAAAAAAACTGTATATTATTATACGTATTATACTATTAAAATATGAGCCCCCATCAACTGAACATGTCTTATAGTCAAATAGTGCTATTTGTGACATTACTATGGTTTGAATAGAAATACTGAAACTTTGAAGTTAAAAAATATAGATGTCAGGAGGAGTAAAAAGATTTTGCTTCATTGAATAGATCATATTAAAAGGACTCTTAATATCCTACAAATTGATTGTTAAAATGGAATGCGTGGTTTAAAAAAAAGAATCCATGGTGATAGTGGTAGCCTTAATAACACAAGCTTTAATATCAGGTATAACCAAGAAAAAGTTACTGACATCACAATTCTGGTCTATGATGTCCTTGAGCCATTTATAAGGGGAAACGATCCTGCCCTAGCATTACTGTAGGGCAGTGTAGAGTACAGTGTAGGCAATAGGATGCAAAGCATCTGTGTGGTAAACAAAGTAACCAAATTAAAACGTTCACATAGTTCACCAAAATCCCTCAACATTTTAAAATGTATTTAGAATCGTGCATTGAAACGGTTAGGGAAATAACATTTATAAGATGATTTTATATGATAACATGATCTGATTTATATTGATCTGGTATTTAAGAAATACCAGACTCAGAGACAGGATTATCATCAAACACAAACACGTATTTTGAACAGATGGAACGCACAGATGAAGCAGGTGGACAGTGAAGTCAATAAAGAGTTATTGATGATTGATAATAGTGAATAACAAAGTCATTTCCTTTTACCAGGTAGCTTGGGAGGAGACGATAACCGGTGAGTGGAGGAGACTGAAGAGCACACACTTCGTGGATGCAGGTTTGGAGACAAATAGTAAAACACAAATTTTTAAAACAGGAGTTTACAAGAAGAAGATTAGACTGACAAAGACATATTCTGTGCTTTCAATATGTTTCCAAGTAGGCTAGATAACCAAACCATCATTGCCAGCTTATTATTTCATTACAGTTGTCTATAAATAGGCTAAGTATACTTTTTAATCCCCTGCACATGCAGTTTAGGCAACAAAAATCGAAATGTTTTCCTTGCACCCAAACTGCAATTAATTAACTGAATCCACCAAAGGAGCGCAAGCGTGTTTTTGACATGTCCTTATTATTCAACACCTCTCCCCTATTGTCTTGCATGCCTTTGTTCACCCCTCCCGCTCGTTTATCCGAAACTGTGGCCTGTTTCCATTCTCACTCCAGCAACCCCCCTCTCACCCCCGGGCTGGCCCTGGTTAACACCCACATTGTTATGTCCTCATGCAAGCAATTGTGCTGGAGAGCAGGGAGGAAGGATGTGGCTAAATACCATGGCTTAAAGTAGAGAAAAAGCTTTTGTCACCCTTTCCGTTAGTTTTGTGTGTGTCCCGTGTGTATGCAGTCTCATCGCAGCAGCGGGAAGACCTCATCCAGAGATATTTCAACATAAACTTGTATTAATAGCCTTTGAAATACAGTACGCCTATATCTTGGTAGGAGTATCATGAATCTTTAGACATTGGAAACAGCTGTGAGAGGGAAACTCACACACTAGCCAGGATACAGTGCAGAGTTTACGGTAAGGGAAGAGGGGAGGGGGTGAAGAGAATAGGGGGAGGAGAGGAGGAGATGGGGGAAGACATCACTGCCTCCAACCACCACCACCGCCAAAGGAAACACTAATCTCAAGGAACATCTCAGCGAATTCCTCAGGAATCACCACGAAGTAAACCCGCAGGCTGCCGTTATACATTTCAACCTCGTTGATTCGGATTATCCGACATAGTTTTTAGGTAAAAACCGACCAATCGCATGCAGCACTATAGTGTAACCAGCCTGTCCTACATTTTTTACTCTGATTTATTTATTTTTAAATAAATTTTTATTTATTTTTAACGCGTTTTAGGAACGCTAGCGATGGGATGTATTGCCTATTTAGACAGTAAATAATAACGTGGTTATACCGTGGGTTGCACTGCATGAGTGGAAGCTTTAGGGCGGAGAGAGAGAGAGAGAGAGACGGATGCGGACGGACATTGTGATCCCTGATAATACAGAAGAGAAGAGATGCTCCACGGGGATTATTTTAAACCTCTCTGTTGACCTCTCATCCCATCCCGAGGAGCAGGAACAAACGCAATTGTGCTTCAGTACTTCCCAGAAGCCAAATACTGAGAAATTAATGCTGCCAGTTACGATTTAAAACGCCGAGGAGAATGAGGTAACGTTAGGCCTGTTCCGTGTGATACAATCGGGATGAGCTTGTTGTTTTAATCGTTAAACATGGCCAAAAACAAGCCTGTTTGCATATAAGAATTGTGATTTTCCCTTATTGTAGGTTATAAATATCGGACCGAAGAGGAAATGGCCGTTTTCTTCGTGCCTGGGTGAGGAATGTTGCGATTCATTTACAGTGACAGACAACTCATGTGCCTCGTCAGACTTATTTTATAGTTTAACCGCTGTAATATCAATTGATGGTGAATTTGTGTACAATATGGGGAGCGACAGTGAAATATTGAACCGGGAGCTGTCAAAGATGTCCGATGAAGACTTGCTGACTTGTTCTAAGGAAGAGCTGGTGAATCGACTCCGCAAAGAAGAATCGGATAAGATGTCCGCTCTCATACAGCGCGGTCGATTAATAAAGGAGGTCAATAAACAACTGCAGGGACATCTGCTTGAAATCAGGGAACTCAAAGTCATCAACCAGCGGCTGCAAGAGGAGAACCAGGAACTTCGGGATTTATGCTGCTTTCTGGACGACGACCGTCTGAAAGTAAAGAAGCTCGCGCGTGAGTGGCAACTGTTCGGCCATCACGCGGCCAAAGTGATGCGCGAGGACCTCGGCGGATACCTCAAGAAACTCGCCGACCTGGAGCGGATGCAGGACGGTCTGGTGAAGGAGAATCTGGATCTGAAGGAACTTTGTTTGGTGCTCGAGGAAGAGTGCGTCAGCAGAAGTGATTCCAGCCCGGGTGGCTCCACGGATCTCAACATACCGTGTATGGTGGCCCGGGATGTGGGTGACGGGAGCTCCAGCACCGGGAGTGTTGGCAGTCCAGACCAGCTGCACTTGGTGTGTTCACCAGATGACTGAAGGAGAGGAGCAGAGCCATATTACTTAACCTTCTCTCTTGATGCTGAGACAGACTTTTTGTCTACAAAAGTAGTTTACATTTTCTGACAAATGACATCTCAGATTTCGGTGGAAAAAAAATAGACCAGGACTTAAGTAGGCTAGTTTACTCATGGCCTTTTGATGCCATAAGTACAGTTTCTCTATATTTCCTTGATTAACATTTTATAGTTGGCAGACCTTTAAAACTTGAGGGAAATTATTGGGTGCCAGTCAACATAGAATTATTTTTAAGGTTTAAAGTGACACCTTTTCTTTCAAAACCTGTCCTCCTGCTGGAAAATCAATCTTTAAGAAATAGTTTACACAAAAATGCAAAATATGTGTTCATTTACTCACCCTCATGTCATTCCAAACCTGTAGACTTACTTTCTTCTGCAGAACACAAATGAAGATATTGTGAAGAATGTTTATTTTGAAGAACTGTTTTTATCCATAAAATAAAACTTTTATGCATAAAATAAAATAGGTGTCCAAAACAGAATTGTACCCCATTGACTTTTATCGTACAGGCTTCACAAACTAGGGGTTTGTGAGGGAACTGCAAGGAGTTCATGAGTGGGTGAAAAGCTAATAATTAAATTATAAAAATGTGAAATTAAAATAAATCATTTTAAAATAAGAAAAAAATATTTAGGGACAGTTTTTAAGCTGACAACAATGTTTGAAAATCCTTATGTGTGGACAGAAACATAAACACATTTTCATAATATCTTCTTTTGTTTTCTGAAGAAGAAAGAAAGTCATACAGGTTTGGAATGGATGAGAGTAAATCATCACTTTCCCCTTAAGCTGGTAGCTGTGTTTTGGAACATGGTGGCCGGTTTCTTGCTGGTCTAAGCTAGTCGAATAACATCTGGACCACCTTAAAATGATATGACCAACTTGTCTAATTCTGGTCTAAGACGGCCTACCGGCTTGAACTTACTAGAAACCATCCACCATGTTTCAAAATCTTTACATTTTCCTGCAGGGCTATTTATCGTATTAGTAGCATTATTTGAATGTTTTTCCAAGTGTTGCTGGAATGTTTCCTCTTATCTCTTACAGGGGTTGTAGATAGGGGCAAATTAGGGTTTAGTTGACATTTTAAACAACATTGGGAGAAACTGCTAACTTTTACCAGGTTTTACTGTGCACTGATCTGTTCACGGGCTGATGTTTCTCCTACGATGCACTATGACAGGGCTGCAATGAATCTTCAATCTTTAGTGATTTACATTTTTACTGATTAGAGCCATATACTATAATGATCTGTTTGAGATCATTTACAAAAAGCACTGAATCATTTTCAACAATGGAGACTAGGAACTGGTAGTATCAAACGATTGTGCAAAGCAAAGCCTCCATTGTAAGCAGATCAGATTTTTTGTGAAATATGGCTGTATCGCTATTGCGGGGGCCCAGGAATGATTCACTGGAAATGCACATGTGACTAGACCACTTTTCTACAGTATAAGATTGTTATTTCTTGTTTATTTTGAACTGGACAGTATAATTCACTAGATGTAGTGACGTGTGCTCCACTAAACAGTGTTGCTGTGCTCTGCACTGAATCCAAAATGAACTTTCTTTTGCATTAACCCCACTTTAACTACATAGCTGTACTGTACAAAGCTTTTTGTGTTCAGTTGTTGCTTTGACAAGACTTTAATTAATACATGCTGAATTGACACTGATGTTTGGAGGGGAAAACATTGACAGAAATGTAGTTTTCAAATTATTGTGCTATATATTGTTATTATTATAGTCATTTTTGTTGTATTTGCTGCATTCTACAAGACCCCTCCTACATAGGATTGTTCTGTTGTACATGTTTTTATTCCAAATATATGATCAGTATTATTTCAATGACTTCAGTTTTATAGCTACAAGACCCAGCTCTCTGATTGATTAGCATTTGCTTTGTTTCAGGCTATGCTCATAGTAATTGAGATAGCTTTAAATACACTTGACTGACACACCATGTTCTGTTCTGGTCTTTTTTTCCTCATACTTTCACTTTCCATGAAAACAATTTTTTATATATATATATATATATTGTATAGCCCACAAAGGACTTCTGAATAGCATGGATGAAATTTTCCCCGTCATGGCTTAACGAGGCCTTAGTCATGCTGTACCTCAGGCCTTCATTTATTGATGTTTCACTGTTTTATTTTGGGCATGCTGTTTGCACAGCAGCTCCGGAGCCAGAAATACTTTCACTGTGACTGCCTGGCATACAGAGGTCCTTTCAGCAGAACATGTGCTCGCTGGTTCATTCAGTACAAACTCTTCATTATCTCAATCATATGTTCTCATGTCCCCTCTATGTGACTCACTTGAAATCAGAGCGATAACAGAGGACGCAGTGTGAAGGAAAAAGGGTCGCCATGTTTATTTAATATGCTCTCTGTCTATTTATGATGTTTTGGCCTCTTTCACCTTATACGAGCTCTTTTACTTTGTCACTTGACTATTCATCTTTAATTGTATTTAATGTATTTTCTATATTTTTGTCACCATAGGCTATTAATTGCACTCTTAAAATAAAGGTTCTTAATTGTTCCATGAAGAAACTTAAACATCAATTGAATCTTTCCATTGCACTAAAGGTCCTTTTATAGTGGAAAAAGGTTCTTCAGATATTTTAAAACAATTTTCACACTTAGAAGAGAGAACAAATATATATTCTTCTAAGGCATCTATGGATGTGAAACCCCCTTTTTAAGTGTGATAATTTTTTTGAGTGACATCCTGCATATCCTCACACACTTGTCATGCAGATCACATGAATTTTTCCCATAACCACAAGCATGCAGATGACATGAAAAAAGAAAACAGAAAGTGTGTCCTGAGATTCTTGTTTATTCTTTCAAAACATCACATTAAGTTCAACTGTTAGAGGAGGGTGTTTAACAATTGTCTCCAGTTCCGAGGCAAATGTGTTTGTGACTCATTGAACTTTTTTTGACATCCTATGAGGAAACTGCACACTTAACCCCTCCTCATACCCCTGCTCACTTTCCATTATGTAACTTACTAAGCATTTACTTTGTTGCTTATATCTCTGTGCCCCCTGAAATAACATTACAGCTACAAATAGTCTTTTGAAGGGGCCATATATGAACTGTTTTTTCATACAGAATAGAAATAAATGGAATTCTTAATTTCAAGGCACTATTATTTTACAAAACATCTCAGAAGTCATAATATTGTGTAGTATTTACAATAGCAGCACATATTTTCAGTAATTGTTTATTTGATGTTAAACAGCATGCAACACGTTTCCAGTAAAAAGTATTTAAAAAATATCTTGTTTTCAAAAATAAATACAAAACTATATGTGGTCAAGCAATAGTAGAATCTAACATAGTTTATCCAATACAGTATAAAGAGTCTATCTTAATAATTTACTTCTACTGGCCTGGGAATCATTCACTTTTGTACTTGTAGGGAAAACCCACTGTAGTGTAGCCACTGAAGTGTTCGGTGAAGTTAAAATATAATTTAACCAGTGTAACAGTGAATCGGTCATTGAAGTGTACATTCTCAGTGTTGAGATGTGGCGTCGCAGACATTGTATGTAAAGAACCAGGTAGGCTGCATCCCTTCAGTTTCTTTGAAACTAGCTTATTCAGCACACACTGATGTTCGGCCACATTATGTTTCTTAAAACCAAGGTTAAAAACATAAAATTACATGACAAAGAACTAGCATTACGCTGGCTGTGTAAATCCACAAACGTGCATAGCAAGACAGTATAACCAATACAAATTCAGATCCATCAATTAAAACCATAACATTTCTAAAATGAACATACTAATAAATAACTTAATAGATACTCATTAAAAATTGCTTTAAACATCCCTTCCTGAAAGGCATAATGGTTGTGCTCTCACTAACTCTCACAGAAACTTGGTAGTAGGCCAGATATTAAACTGCGACAGTACCGTCAATGATATACTAAATCTGTAGTTAAAATAAATGAATATATATATATATATCAATAATATTATTATTAATGCCACTACAGTCAAGCATTATGGGCTTTAATGTCAGTCAGTTTTCTTTTCAGTGTTATATATATAAATACAGTATGTGCTGTGATGATTTCAGTTTACTTCATATGAAAGATGCTTTTACCTCTCATTTTGAACTACACATGCATAAAGGTGAAGTGTGTAATTTCTGCGCCACTATTCTAACCAAATGAAATGGCAAAAATAAAGACCATTTTCAAACCGTTTTCCAAAACAAATCACACTGTCTGTCATAGGTTGGACAAACAGATAGTCATTGTTCATGCCCCTGGTTTAGCCAGAATTACTGACCGGCCAACGAATGGCATAGTTGTCTCCTTATTAAGCTGGGACAGGGGAAAGCATTTCAACGTCAAAACCGTTACACACATCACCTTTAACTTGTGCTTCTGTATTCTTATAATGCATTTAAGTGACTTGATAATAGCCATTAATAAAGGTAAACAGAATACACAGGTAAAAGCACAACACATGCAGTACTTGCTTATGCTTGCGTGTAG